TTTTGTCAAATGTTTTATAATATAATATATATATATATATATATATATATATTTCTTTCTCCATTTCCAACTAAACCCATTTTGGTTTCCGTTATTTATATTTTACCGTTATTTATTTTATCGTATCTCGTCTTTTTATATTATGATTATTATCGTCGTAATATTATTGTCATATATTTTCATCATCTTTTATTTATTGCAACTTAAATTTCTGTTGTAATTTATCGCATGTTAATTATTTATAAGCTTTTAATTAGTTGTCGTAACTTCATTTAGATTATTGTTACCATGTTTATTAATCCTCGTAATATACTTTCGTCATTTATTTTAATTCCTCGTAGTTTTTAGTGTTTACGATTATTTTAACTTTTAGTTATCGTAAAACTTTCTTTCTATGCAAATTTCTTTTCTCGTTTTTAAAATAGATATGCAAATTTCTTTTCTCGTAAAACCTTAGCTTGGGTGTAGGGTAATATTAGGATAAAAGATCGACTTTAATGATAGAAATTTGTTAAATATTAACAAATCTTTCCAACCACTTATTCAAGGTTATATAGATAAAAATTACATTTCTCTTAACAAGTTGATTTTTGCAGAAAAATATTAACAGTTTGACGGACTTAGAGATAAGTCATCCCTAACACATCAACTTGAATAATACGGAAGTATATTCGAGAGAGTTATTTAGAATCAAGGAAACTTGTTTTCATTCCGTACAGCTTATACAAGGGATAGATTGTGTCATTGCCAGGACTGGTTTTATTTTGGAAACATTAGAATTAGTCCTTGAATAAGTGTCCTTCTCAACCTCGAGAGAATACCTTACACAAGCTGATGGTTGGTTAAAGATAAGTTATATCTATAAAGTTCTATCTGATTTATTTTTTCAATCAAATCTTAACTGATCTCTACACCCTTGCTTTCTTTTAAATTAAGTATTTGCATTATTTAGTTTTAAAGTTACTAAACCAAAAACAATTCTTCGAACTCGTCATCTGAAATCTAATCTTTTTCTGGACTTTATCTAAAACATTCAACACTTTTTTTCCTGTGAATCGATATTCGGCATCTTCTCGTTTTTGTTACTTGTAAAAAACGACAATGGGTTGATACGTATATACTTGCATGAGTCTCCATTTGCATACAGTCTGAGAGATTTTATCTTCGTATAAATCTCGCAACAAATTTTTAGCATCGCTGTTGGGGATTTAAGGCAAAACTAAAGATTTTAATAAGTAAATTACAAGATTTGATTTTTCTACCATTTCGTCACTAGCTTTTGTGTAGTACATGTCAAGGCTATCACATAAGAAGATTTTTAAATTTAATCCTGAAATTGAAAAAACTTTTAGAAAAAAAAAGAACGCAAAAAACAATAACTGCTTTAACCTCTTCCAAAATAGCTGAACAGCTGAAAAAATCATCAGGCTGACGAATCCTAACAGACAAAGAAACAAGTGTCGGTCCAGTGGGAAAAAAATCCAAGAAGCACATGGACCAAATCCGTCATTAAGTTATGAAAGTGAGTGGTTTCCAATTTATTAAATAAAAATGTGGTGGGTTGTACGGAAGGAGTAATTATAAAAATATATTGCTCCATTGTCAATGGAGAAAAACGGGGTGACGAAGACCGATTCGATTGTATCATTCATTCATCGTCGTGTCTCTTGCTGCACTTCACCGTTTCTTTTCGTCGTCGTCGAATCCAATAACAAAAAGCTCTAAACCAAAACACATATTTCCCCCTCAATCATCTATTCACAGCTCTGTAATCATCGGTGCAATCTCCAACTGAAAGAAAGGGAAAAGCCCTCCTGATCACCTGCAACTTCTTGCGTCTTCTTTTTTGGTAATATATGCTTTTTATGTTTATGGATCACTGTTTAATTTCCATCAATTTTTCATGTTATGCTAGAATTGCTTTAGTTTGGCTGTAAATATGGCGAATTTTGATGGGTTTTTTGAACTGTTCAAAGTCTTCGTTTCTTTTTTCTGTGGACCTGGTGTTTGAAACTTAAGGTTCTTGTTTATGTGATTTGAGTATTGTTAGTGCCTTCTGGAGTAATTAGTACTTTGCTGGCTTTCTTATGAACTTGATTTATATGTGGTCTGGTTGGTGTTTTGCTTGATGTAAAAAAAAGGTTAGTTTGTTCTATATACAATTTCAAAAACACAAAATGACGAGGATGATGTTGCAGATATGCAGAAAAACCTTGTTGTTGTAACTGTCATGGAAGAATACTTAAATGATAGAATTTCCATGTATCTCAATATGAATTCGTATTGGGTGATTGGTGGTTCTAGCATATGTTGTTGTAACTGTCATGGAAGAATCCTTAAATGATCATAGGGTGAAAGGGTGTGAAATTGGTATCTGGGTGACTCTTGAACTGATTTCGAGGTGATCTTGATGCAGGTTTTTGGTCGGAGGGGTTTAGGTACAACGGTTTACTCATGGCGAAGGGATAAATAGACTTCAAATCTGGTTTTAGAAAACCAGACCAAACGACCCTGGTATATCCCACTCGGAAGGAGGGGTTAGGATTCTGGTTCTACTAAAAAACCATACCAGACAAACCCAGCATATTTCATTCGAAAGTAAGGTATAGGAATCTGGTTCTACTAAAAGACCAGACCTAGCAAGCCCAGTATATCCCACTTGAAAACGGGGTCTGGGAATCTGGTTCTACTAAAAAGCCAGACCAAACAAACCCAGTATATCCCACTTGAAAGCACGGTCTGGGAATCTGGTTCTACTAAAAAGTCAGACCAAACGAACCCAGTATATACCACTTGAAAGCACAGTTTGGGAATCAAACCCAATATATCTCACTCGAAAGCAAGGGTTTGAAAATTTGGTACTACCGTATGAAATAGAAATGTTGGAGGATCCAAAGTTTACAGGCATGATCGGCCTAAACAATGGCCACGATAATTTTCTTGATGTGACACAAAGGTTCTACCATAAGCTTGATGACGATATGTCCATTGAAAGTTTCAGAAGTTTGCATATGAGCAATGGTGGAGGTTCGTTGGCAAGGTCTCTTGTCAACAGTAGTGTGGGTTCAAATGGTTCAGCCACTTTCATGTTAAGTGACCCTGGCTTGAACCATGGTCAAATCAATTACACCGCTGACCGTAGTGTTATCAGAGGAACAGCATCAAACGGCTTAACCGATGATGGTCTGGCTCAGGCTCTATTGGATTCTTGTTTTCCTACAAAAGGGCTTAAGAATTTTGAAGAATGGACAATTGAGCTTACGAAACTTAGCATGGGACCCACTTTCGCACAAGGTGCATTCGGGAAATTGTATAAAGGTACTTACAATAATGAGGATGTTGCTATTAAACTTCTTGAAAAACCAGAAGATGATGTGGAAAGAGCAAACCTCATGGAGCAACAGTTTCAACAAGAAGTCATGATGCTTGCAAGATTGAAGCACCCAAATATCGTTAGATTCATTGGTGCATGTTATAAACCGATAGTTTGGTGTATTGTGACGGAATATGCAAAGGGGGGTTCGGTTCGACAGTTTCTGAATAGGCGGCATAACAGATCTTCGGTGCCTTTGAAATTGGCGGTGAAACAGGCTTTGGATGTTGCTAGGGGAATGGAATACGTTCATGGGCTTGGATTGATTCATAGGGATTTGAAGTCGGATAATCTTTTAATTGCATCCGATAGATCAATCAAGATTGCTGATTTTGGAGTTGCTCGGATTGAGGTGCAGACTGAAGGAATGACACCGGAGATGGGAACCTATCGCTGGATGGCTCCGTAAGTTGACTTAACCTTTGACTATATGACCGTTTTTTGAGAACCGGTATATGCAAGTATATAGGCATTGGTGCATATACTCGTTGAAATTCATATATGCATTGATGCATATATTGGTTTGGTTTTCACGGTTCTCAAAATTTCATAGTTCTCATTTGAACCTTCAACTATGCACATAATATAATACCCCAAAGCCCAAAGCAACAAGGTGGCCCAATAACTTCAAATCCAACTTAAAACCATGATGGAAGTTATTGGTAGCCTATAACTTGAGGCTTATTAGGAGCTTAGAAATCCCATTTTCTTTCTATGTGGGACGAGTTGTACAAAGTCCCCTACTTAAACTCCTTACGTCCTCGTCAAATCTGTCTAGAATCTTCCTCCTTGTAATCGGCGATGTGGGATTCACCTAACATGTTACAAACACCCCCCCCCCTCTTCCTCGAGGACTCATCATACCCGATGAGGTACAAGGATCGGCTCTCTGATACCATTTGTAACACCCCAAAGCAACAGACTGACCCAATAACTTCGAATCCAACTTAAACCTTGCTTAGGATAGAGGCAAGGTTTGTGTATATCCTACCCCAAGACTTACTTTTGCGTGAATATACTAAGTTTGTTTGGTTATTACAGGGAGATGATCCAGCACAGGTCCTACACTCAAAAAGTAGATGTTTATAGCTTCGGGATCGTGCTATGGGAACTCATCACAGGTATGCTACCTTTCCAAAACCTGACCGATGTGCAAGCTGCGTTTGCCGTTGTCAATAAAGGCATCCGGCCAACCATCCCAGATGACTGCCTTCCGGTTCTCAGTGAAATAATGACACGTTGCTGGGACGGAGACCCCAATGTGAGACCAACCTTCACTGATGTTGTCAAAATGCTTGAAAAGGCTGAAATTGAGATCATGACAACGGTCAGGAATGCCCGATTCAGGGGCTGCTGTGTGAGTCAACCCATGACCCTCGATTGATATTCGAAGGACCCAACATGAAAAAAGGAAATCTATAAAATTTTTATGTATCTATACTGTAGGATGATTTCTTTCTTAAGATACATGGAGAAGAAGAAAGAAAATCAAGATAACTGCTTGTTTTGTGGGATCTATATTATATATACCTTTTTGTTTTGATTTGTATGGATTTTGTGGCTGAATTAGTTGTAAATGAGGAGATTTAATGTTGTATATATACATGATATGTATTGCTAGTCTTTATAGTTTTATTGAGGACAGGTTAAGAATCAAGACCCGTTATGACTAAAACCAGTCGAAATATCCAAGACCAGTTAAATGTCAAGTTAACTGGATTTTTGGCTTCATTAGTTTAACAACTTCAGTTATGTAACATCCAGTGAATGCATTATGTATTCACCAATGAATGCAATATGTATTCACAAATGAATATGTATTCACAAATGAATATGTAGTCTAGAATAAACAGAGATAAAATAGAAGACCATTATGATTATTCCTTTAATTGATAATTTTACACTTGTTTGGGCAATAACCACCCACATGATCCAAAATTACAATGGAAACATACCTCCTCAACTCAACCACCACCTGCCAACAAAGGGGTGAATAAAACCCAAAAAGAAAAGTCAGAAAGAAAACCAAACTTTCTCATCTCTAGTTTCTGCAAATCTTAAAAACAACCTCCAAAACTCAATCATGTCAGTTTGATGCATATCCTACTTTCTTTACTGTTTTTCCAACTGGAGGGACTCTGCAACTCTATCAGAAAGCTCATTTATAGAAGAAGAAGAACCATCATCAACATTGTTTTTTGCTTGCTCCATTTTCACCTTCTTTTCCTGTAAACACTTCTCTCGTTCATCGTAGAAATGAAAATCATCCAAGATTGATGTTTCTGAATCATGTTCCTTAAAGATTTTCAACATTGCAATACCCTCTTCAAGTTTCACCTATAGGAAGAGAAGATTTACAAACTTCAGAATTCATCCAAGATTCACGCTGATGCTCTAGAACAAGATTCGCTTATAGGACGACATATTATGTCCAAGTGTCATAATGAAATGCTTATTAGGACTTAAGTTTATAAAGATCTCTTTTGGGTGTTCTTAATAAGTTTTTATGATAATTTTCAAATAAACGTATCCTATTAGTCTTTTTAATATGACATTATTTGAAAAAAGTGTCTTATAAAGATAACAAGGAATACCTCTTGTGAGTCTCGGCTATGAGTGACAGGTTTGTTGTCATTGTTTTCAAGAAGTATATGGCGGAAACGACTATTTGGGACATCTTTGATGATGTGCCACTGGACACGGAACTGGCCGCTCCACCTATCCTGTTGCCAGTACTCTGCATCGTTCTCAAAATCTACAGGTCCGACCATTTCTGCAACACCGCAAAACTGTCCACTAGCATTTACCTATAAGAAATTTTGCGTTCAGCCACCAGAAATCAAATAGGTGAAAGTTAATGAAGCAACTCACCGAAAAGAAGAGGAAAATCGGATAACTTCCTCCAGCTTCCTGAGCTTCTTGATAAGCAGCATCTAGTTTTCGGTTTCCAAGTGGGGTGCTTGCCCAAACACCATACTTGATACTTCTATGAACATTGTCTTCACTAAAAGATTTTATTACAAAGAATTTGGCTTTTTCATAGGTTGTAACGAAATCTGGCCGGTTGTACAGGTCAAGATGAGACCGAGAAGCATGGTTATTTGACATAGGGTCAACTGAACTACTTCCCTTCGGCTTTGATGCCCTTGGTCCACGGTTCCTATCACTGGTGGTGGCATGTGACTCACCGGTCAAGCTAATCGAGTCCCGGTCCCTTTGTTTGACTTCTTTGTCATGCCCATGATGGTTCAGCCGACTAGCCTCATACGAACCGCTTTGCGGGTAGCGTCTTGTGGTCGAACCTGATAACTCATATCCATGATATGGTGTCTGCTGCTGAAGAATTCGGAATGAAATAAATTAGCAGAGATTACAAACAACATTTAAGGCTATATTTGGCAAACCAGCCAACAAGTTCATTATTAGCTGAAAACTAGTTATGATTGGTACAAATAGTTGACAAGCTAGATGACAATGTAAAAATACCTAAAAGAACAGGAAAATTAATTAGAAAAATACAAAGGGCAAAATGGAAAATAAAGAAGTGGAAAAAAGCCCCTGATGCTTATTGAAACGCTACCTGAAGTAGTTTTTCAAAAAGCTAGCTTATGACTAGCCAAACGAGACTTTTTCAATAAGCTCCTAAATGGCAAGAACAATAATAGGATTTGTCTATATCATTGTAAAGAGAATCAACCTGTCCAAAACTGTGCTCATACGGCCCAAGTATGCCAACTGGTGTTGATTGGCTTGACACAGGTTCACTGGAGCTGCCATCGCCAGAAAATTGGTAGAATCCAAGACCATTATTTCCCGGATAATGTAGATAATATCCTGATCCTGCACCCAAAAACACATTGTCACCAAGACCCTCTTGGTTGCCGCTTGCCGGAGTTGCAAGATCGGTCGGAGAAACAGGCTGTGAGTAGTAAGATGGAGACATCGGGACTTGATGAGGTGAATATAGCTGACCATCTATCATTATCGGAGATACGGGACTAGCAAATGGCGAAAACTGGCCGTATGCGACCTGGGGATCATACGCATAAGCAGGATGAAATAAGAGCGAACCATTCTCATTGTAGATCGCCTAAATCATGCCAAAGAAAAAGCAAACAAAATTCAGTTAGAGAGCCCCATGGAAGCAAAAAAAAATTGTTAATCTTTTTAATAACAAAAGGGTCATTGGCCCAGTGGCACCCGTGTTACCATTAGATCCCGACCTCCCTGGAGGTCAAGGGTTTAAATCTCACCACGAAGTGTATGTGAGTTTTGCCATATATAAATGTTATATACTTAAAGAAACAAATAAACTCTCACCGGAGGCATCATTTGCAAGTTATTAGGATGAACATAATTTGAGTTTTCTCCCCAATTAACCGAGCCATCATCATAACCTGATTTCAAAAACAAGATAATAGTAGGTCAAGCAGAAGCCCAGAAAACCTATGGTAAATCCATTTAAACCAAACCAAACCAAACAAACCCAATATATCCTGCTCGAAAGCACAGTCTGGGAGGGGTGGCCCCCAAAGGGTAGAGCGGTTATTTATATGAAGATCCCTGGCTTGGGTCTATCCACATCTTTTTTATAAACTAACCTCCATAGAAGTAAGTTTGTTCAGGAGTGGTGTAAGTAGTTGATGTATGGACGGGTGTCGGAGCTCGGCTTGCATTCCTGGTTTCTGATTGGTTGGAAACCAACCTTCCAGACCCTGCAACGGCTGCATTCACAGAAGGATTTGGAGAAGCAATCCTTTCATCTTTTGGCGACCGTGGCTGAAAATACAAAAAAAGTACTAACGAACATGTTACCTAAGCTAATCAAAGTATTAGAAAATGATGTAAAGAAGCTTCAAAATGAAAAAAAAAATACCTGATCTGTTTGGTTATCAGGTAAAGGACCATCACCTGTTTAAAGTGTCAATTTTTTCAAGAAGTTAGTGATGGAGTTGAAATAGCAAGCATCCATATGAGATTTTATGAACAAATTCACTGCCATCAAGCCTATCATAGCATAGAGATCAAGTGCCACCTCAGGCTCCATCACTGAACATGATGATCACATCATTGGCCGAATACTCCATTCCATCAATAGCCAAATCAAACAAGCTCAGTGTATCCCAGATTCCACCCGAAGGTGGGTTTGGGGGTGAGAAGTATGCAGACCTGACCTCCACCACAAAGAGTAGAGAGGTTGTTTCGGTCAAAGGCATATGCAAATAAACTCCTTTTAATGTTTTCTAAAATTTTATGCAGAGTCGAGAAAAACAAGAGGATGGTATTTTAGTTGAACTCCATAGGGACTAATGCTTTAATAATCATTGTGTTATCCATTTAAGCCGCTCTGCCATTTGGGGTAGAGGCCAGGTCTGCATACATCCCACCTTCTAGACCTTGTTTTCGAGTTGGGTTGTTTTGGTTTGGTCTGGCTCTATTGTGAATTGTGATCCCGAGCTCAGCAAGTTGCTACTAACTTCCTATGATGGCTTTAGTTCAGAGGATTTTTGGGTCACTTTACCACATTGGGCCAAGGCATTACAAATTGTATCAAAGCCTAGGTGTCAATTGCCTTCAGTTTGATAATGGTTATCCAAACCAAACCAAACTGACTCGTATATCCCACTCGAAAGTAAGGTCTTAGGGGTAAGAAACAAAGCATTCATTCCACATGATTGCAGTACTTGAGATTGATGGTTCGATGAAACCTAAAGTTCAAGACTAGGGTTTATGAAGGAATTCTGAATCAGGAAGATCAAACTCAACCAATTCAAAGAACACAATATTAGATACATGTGGCAAGTGGCTGAATTTTCGGGTTTGCAATAAAACAGGCATGAGATCTGAACCCAAAACAAGAATCTGTTCCAACCACATTTCTATCAAAATTCAAAAATGCAATCTCACCCCCAAATCACATAAGAACCCTAAATCATGCTAGAATTTGCAGTAAGATAGCAGCAACGAAAAAAGCACCAGATTTCCAAATCCTACAATCCCAATAAAAAGCAAGAAAAACAGAACACCAGATTCCGAAATCGTACAACCCCAGTAAACAAAACAAGAAGAATTGACATTAACAAAGCAAATTTCGTAGAAAAACATCGTAATTTACAAGAAAAAAAACAACACCACATGAAATCAATCCTTTCTCAAATTCAACACAGAAAAGTTCAAATTATTGCTAACTGAAGATCAACAACTCGTAATGGGAAAGAAAAAACATACCATCATGCAAGGGGAGAGTTGAAAGTGAAGCAGGAGAACCTCGATCTTGTCCCTGTTGACCTTCCATGATTTTCCCCAATTGGTTCAATCCAAATCAAAACAGAAACCTTTTTCCTCTTCCAAAAAGAACGAAGAGAAAAAAAAAATCAAGATTGAAGTATCAAACTCGAAATCATCATCATCACTAGAGAATAAATTACTAAAAAGAAAAAAAGCAAGAATTTAAAAAAGGGTTTTAGGTCATTTACATATATAGATACAATATTTATATATATATGTATATATACACCACACACATTTTACGCGTACATGGGAACCTGTGTATATGTAGTCATGTAAGAAAAAGAGGAGAAAGGAAAACGGTACTCTTTTCCAGACCAAAAATACCAAACGCCACACCAACGTACAACTTCTGATGCATTCGTACAATCTACTAACGGGTTCTTGTTTAGTAAAAATATTTAATTTAATTATTTTTTCCGGACGATTGGATTTCGTTTTAAATCCAGAGGATCTCGTGGTCTTTTGGCTTTTGTATGAACTGGCAGTAAATTCCACGATCGTTACTCACGAGTGAATATCACGCGCGCATCTGTTGGTTTAGAAATGGTGCGCGTGTCGTTCACGATGAGAAATTGGCGTCGGTAGTAAATACGAGTCAGCGCTTTTACGGCAATAAACCGGCCGGAGATCTTTACCGTGTGCCTTCTTTGTTCCATCAAATTTAAATTGATTTATTCTAAATTTTAAACAAACACAATATTTGTTTTTAAAACGAGTTTGGGGTGGACAAATCAAAATTTTAATCCGCTTTCGGATATGAAAATTAAACCCGTTTTAAATTTCGAATTACTTGAGACTTCGGCTGATTGGATTTCGGGATGAGGTCGATCGGGTTGAGGTGTAGTTATAATGCAAAAAATACAGATATATATTCAATCTGTTGTGAGCCTTAATTCATTCGATTGAGATGATTGATGAAATTGATAGTAGGTTTGGAAAAAAAAAGGAGTACGACCAACTAAGATTTGATTTTCAAAAGATAATTAAATAAATAAATTGATTTATAATATATATATATATATATATCGGGTTCTCAGACGAGATCGTTTCTAGGGTTTTTGATGCCCTGTGCAAAAATATTTAAAAAATGCACTTATGCCTAATTTTTAAGCAAATAAACCGATGAAACGTACGATTTTTTAAGGGGTTTGGTAGTCAAGCTAGGCGGCTCATCTGCACACCGATTTTTATTAATTATAATAAAAAAATAAAAAATGGGACTTAAAAACTAGTAATAGATGAAAACTTGATGCCCCTTGGACTTTGATACATTATGCGGTCGCACGGACTACACATAACCAGGGCCGGACCTGGTAATAGCAGGTTCGTTCGTGAAATGTTTTGATCCCTTAAATCATAAACCAAATCGTAAAAGCAGTGGGGATTTTTTTTCAAACCAAACGATCTAAGGGGAAATGAGTAGATCGGTCAAACTAGACCATCAAAAGACGGTCTAGTCCAAACGATTTACAGGGTTTAGGTTATGATGGCCCATGACATAAAATTATGCATAAAAATGAACAAAAGGGATAAACTATATATAGCGTTCTCCCAAAAGGAAAAAAAAAAATTAATTGTTGATGATGCCAGTAGAAAAACTATCACAGTTTCCAAAAAAAACAAAAATCGAACCATCAATTGTTTAGGGAAAACATTGGTTGGCTTCTGCTTGAGGGCTTCCTGCACAGCACAAAACTTGTTACCATAAATCAAGATTAACTTACCAATACTGGCAAACTAGCGATGAACAGAAGAAGACCAGTCGAAAAGAGACGATTTGGAACCGAGAGGGTTACGATTTTGTTTAATGTTTATACTTACGGTTACACTCGCTCTTCCTATTTATATACAGATATATGTAATTATTTAATATTATATTATTACGGATTAATATAATATAATATAATATAATTATATATATAGGGAAAGGTTCAAATTAGAAGCCCCAAAAATTTGAGAAGTAAGAAGAGATCTCAACAATTAGGCGAGGTTTTTCAATGACCAATATCATAAGGGAGAAATATGTGAATATAGGAAAAATTGTGACTAATTTAAAGAACCTAAGAAAGTTGAGGGGAGCATTTTGAAACTTATAATTAAATCAAGAGTAAATTACATTCTCAGTCCCTACGGTATGTGATTTCTTTAACTACAGTCCCTCAAACCAATGTATTACATTCTCGGTACTTGTGGTATGCAAAAACGCACATTATAAGTCCCTCCCTTTAACGGAATCTAAAAGATTATGTTAACTCAGTTAAGTCAGAGGGTATTTTCATCTTTTAGCCTCTCTATTTTGTCTTTTACCATAGGGACCGAAATTGTAATATATATATATATATATATATATATATATTGACTTGGGATCACTCGAGACCAATTTGTTTTCATGATATCTGTGATGCCACTTTTTTACACTTGAAACTTCACAACATTTCTTCACAGTGTTTTTACTGTGAATGTTCGGCTTTTTTTTACCTCCATAGCGTTTTGATGTGAAATTTCAAGTGTTAAAAAAATGGTCTAACGGATCTCACGAAAACAAACTGGTCTTACATGAACCCAATCCTATATATATTAAATGCAGATTGCATACCTACTAACTTGCCCACCGCCCTATTGTCGACATCCCTCATCGTCGTCCGCACTCCATTTTTTTCACCTACCTTTACCTCCATTTTGTCTATTAACTCCTCCCCGTCCATTTTCTTGTTTTTGCAGTAAGTCTACCGTAGATGGATGTTGATGAAAGGAGGGAGGTCAGAGATGGGTTTCTACTTGTTTTTGACGTATATGACAATTTTCCATTTAACATATATGATTTTTGGGATGTTTAAACTAGAAGTACTTATTGTAATATCTGAAACACAGTAAACCCACCAACGTCATCATTTACCGTCGGTCTCTCTTAAAACCCCTCTCTCTCTCTCTCTCAGACACACACAAAGATTTCCACCATCAACCTCCCACGTCAACCATCACTATGAAAATCAACCTTCTCAATGAAAGGGGGAGACCATAATGGGTCGGATGGGTTCAAGGTGGTCGGTTATCAGATCTCTGGTGGAAACCCACTTGTAAGTGTATGTGTGTGTACACGATGGTGATAGGAAACGAAGATGGGATGAAGGGGTAGATGCGGAAGTGAACTTTTAAGGGGCATAATCACATAGATAAAAAGGTACTTGGTTGGGGTGGTGAAGTCGTCGGATAAGTAGGATAGAGGAGGGAAGGTTGAATTTTAGTGAATGGATTGGGTTATGGAAGAAGAAGGTGAGAACATGTTGGGTGTGGGTGTGGGTGTGGGTCACAAAAAACTAATGTTCAAAAAAGTGCGCCATAATGTGATATGATGCAAAACGCGTCTTTGTCGTTATGAAATGACCCATAACATTTCGATAAGACGTGGATCAAGCCATGATGCATTGATTTTATAAGACGTGATTTTTTTCAAAAAAAATTTAGTTTTTATGTTTTGTTTATCTTTTTGTGTTTTTACACTTTTAACTTTAGATTTTACACTCTTATATAGATTTATCTAATCACATCACTCACAGTTTCACGAATGCATCATCGTAATGGACTCACAAAAACGAAGTTATGAAATTACTTTTATACGTTCTTTTCAAATATTTAATCAAAAACTATTTTTATAATAATAATTTATATAATTTTTCTTCTTCTAATATGAATGTACATTTTTTGATATCATTATCTGATTAGATAATATATAGGATACATATATGTAAATATATAATTCTATACATGACATATAAAATTTGTCGCATTATGTCATACCTTGAAAAACGTCACGTACTCGTTGTGGCGTATAAGACTTGAGGCTTGACCTCGTCCTCACGCCATTTTAAATCTTTCTAAAGCACATAAAAAAATTAAGATAATAATAATAATAATTTATCAATAGAATAAAATAAATAAATATATTTTAATTCTTTTAACGGGATAAGGACAAAAAAGGAGATTATATGACGAAGATACCCAACCCCCTAAGGTAACTTGGTTAACAAAGTCTATTAGAGGGAGGGACTCAGAGCGTGCGTTTTTGCATACCACAGGTGCCGAGAGTGTAAAAACGCGTTTGATGATCGTAGTAATGACAGACTACATACCACAGGGACCAAGAATGTAATTTAATCTTATATATTAATCCTAAGTCATAAAATCACTAATCCACTCATTTTTCAAAATATTTACCTACTTTTTTTTAAATAATAATTTGATAACCATTCTTTGGAAGAAAAAAAATAAGCTAGCTTATTTTCTGGATACATGTTTGAATACACATAAGTTATCTTATTGAAACGATACTTAAAGAAACATTTTGGTATTTTATTGTCACTTTTTTCAATTATAACCTTCATTATTATTAATTATTATTTAATACTATTAACTATAAATAATTCTATACCATATTATAAAATATTTGACAAAAACTCTTAAAAATCATTTTTTTATGCATAAAGTACTGTCTATTGATGCACATTACTTAAAATTCAAGATTATAAGTAAATTATGCATAAGTACAACTTATTAAAGCTCCATATTTGAATTCGTATAACTAACTTCGGATAAACATAATAAAAAAGAGAATAAACATCTCATTTTAAAATCTAAAAAATCTAAAATATAATTAGGATAATTATCGATGTCTAATAAAATAATTAATTATTATCTTTATAAGAAATTTATATTATTAAATCAAATATAAATTACTTCGTTATT